TTCAATGTTTTTATTCATTCATTAATGCATTGATTAAGATTCATATCGAAAAATGTGTAGAATAATAAATTTATAGATCACGATCGTCAATAATTATGCTATCAGAATTATTAAACATCTTTAGTTTTTTTTTTTTGTAAATAGTGATATAAAAACAAATATATAAAGGACGCGACTACTCGATACCCGTTGTACAGTTCACGTGCAGGTAATTATTAAATTGCTGGATTGTAAAGCCGTCGTCTCGTCGCCGCCGCGTCGCGACTTTGTCGCACACGCAACATTGCTTTGTGCAATTTCGCTCACTTTCACAATTACGTGGGCAAAGACGCCTGCACAGTTTCTATTTGAATGATTAGATCAATGAAGAATAAATTTATCATACGCAACTTGTTTACGTAACTAGGTTTCAATATGCGCACTCACTTTCGGTCCAGATTTGTTAACAATAAACAATCGCAGATCTGTAAAAAGTTCGTCAAGTGACATTCAAAATGTCAATCAGTATGTCATACGTAGACAAACTAATATTTAGTTACAAAAAAAACATTTTGAAACCGATTAAGAAGTCATTCAGAGGTTGAACCATTCAACATCCTGTTCGCTAGATATCATCTGAATAATTGCAGTCGTGCCAGTAACTGGCTGGACCCGTCTGGCCTCTTCGTAGCCTAACTTCTAAACAACCATAATTTCCGAATCATTATCTATATTTGCTATAGTTCCTACAAATACTCAGCACTAGTGTTGGTCATCAAACTGGATTTGCTTTTCTATTAAGTTTTTCTACAAGTTTTTTAGCGTCATCGCGACAGAAAGTTAATCACTCATCTAATTAATTTTATAGTATTACAATGAATAATATTTACTGAAGAGATAACGTATTCAGAGTACGATGTTGGCAGAAATGCAAAGACCATCGCTATGTTATTATGACGAGTCATCATTCGCCAGTAAATGGGTTCATCGCTTAACCTGAATGCGAATATATGAGTCACGTTCAACTCGCACTCTGACTAACCACGGCTACTGTTTCCTGTCACAATAAAACACATCACACAAAAAAAACACGCACTCGTCAATATTTAATTCAATTTATTTAAACAGAAGATGCAAGTGATACTAAAACAAATATAAACGAATGCTAAACGCGAATCAAGCCTTATTAAACGAACGTTCAAAGCTGTACAATAGATGCTACCTGGATACATGTCACTTATTTGTTTAGGCAGCCACAGCACGATTCAAAACCAGTAGCTGTGAGCCCAAACATACGATCGTACGACGCTCGAGGGGAATACTTTTTGTTTCTCTTTTTAACTAAAACCACTCGCGCAACCTTCACCAGGGCTGTCCGCCAATCAAATGATACTCAACATTCAATTGTTACAAAATACAACCGAGCGGTTTCGACGTCGCCTTTCACTTGGCCTAGATATTTTGGAACTGGTCGGACGAAGCGACAATGCAATCGCTCTATCACTTTGCCATATAAACGACAACAAAGCGCTTCCTGCGTAGAATTTAGCCGCTACGAAACATTTAAACTTCAACTGGTCTAGCAGCCCTGTGACGAATTAAATAAAAAGCTCCGGTCGCGAGCTACGGCAGCGAGCCAACCTGTTTGGTTACGGGACGCTAAGACGCCCACGCCACTCAAATCCGCGCTCGACACATGCAACGTTATGTTATAGTGTGGGTAGACGCACGCCAGATCAAGTTTGGACTTGCTTTCGGATACGTCACCGCGTCGTCAAGGAAAAACGCAAGACTTTTTGTACTAGACCCGCAAGACTGCAAGAAATTAACTGTTGGTCCTCTTCTAGCACTCGCGTTAGACAGAGATAAAGAAATATTTTTCTGATAAACTTAACTTAAAACGATGGACAGTACTAACAACGTCCGCAAATTTAAAGCTTTGTCAGCTTATAGTATTCGTATAGGACACGTTGAATGCATTATGCGAACTCTTCATCATATTATTATGGTCTATATGAGTGATGAGTCTATAGATCATGTATATATGATATAAATTATATACCTACAATCTTAAAGCCTTCCATGATTATAACGCATTTTTATAGCGCGTTCGTACATAATAATTTCGGAACAGCAAAAAACGAAAATTGAAATTTGAAGCTCCTTATATGGAATACGGAATCTTAGCTTAGAGGAAACGAATGTCTATCTATAAAATTCAATTACAAAAGTTTGAACCGGTAATACTATAACTAAAAAGGAAACTAGACACTCGAAAATATTATAAATTATTACATTGCGTAACTAAGAAAGGAGTTTTTCATATATTGTTGTATTAAATAGTATTTTCTACCCGCTCTTAACAAAGACATAGACAACGGATGCATGTCATTGCTGACCTTCGAGCCAACGTGGACTGCATGCTTATGCAGTCACTATGCAAGGAACCTTGCAGCTCGATCAACAAGAATTTAACAGCTACAGAAAACCGCGGCGTATCACATTTTTTACTATCCAAGTCACGGACGGTCGCAACACAGATATCGTTGCTGTGAGAATAAAAGTGTTGAGAACATAAATGAGAATGCCTCTCGCGGTAAACAGAATGGAAGCAACATCGAATGTCGTTTGGATCGGTGCTCGCAACGATATTTAGGTCGACGGAAATAGCCACGGCACTCTGACCATTGCAATTTGAGCATACAACTTGTGTGTACACCAGCTCAGTAGATTATTTAATACAACTGACTATACCTATAAACGAGCTGGCTTCACGTCTTGTCGCTAGGAAGTAACATCAATATACGTATCACTTACTACAGACTTATTCAAATCACTCGAACGAATTTTACGCTTATATTTATCATTCAAGGCTCTTCATACGGAATCAATCGAAGAGTAATTTAATGTATTATCAAAATCCAAGTCTTTCTACGCCACAGAATTAGCTTGTAAACGATAAATGATTGATAATGCCAGCGATAAGTGTGTGCGAGTTGTTTGCGCAGCGTATACGCCCCGCCCGCGCCTTCTCTAACTCCAAGGCCATTTTATTTACGCACCCGCATGTTTACTATCCGGCCGCTACATATAGACCACGCCACTGAGCACATAAACAGTTGGCGGATTCGCAACGCAAATCGGTCACGTTATACTAGAAGAGAGAAAATGGCGGGAAACGCTCCATTGAGCGCTTGGCGGGAACGGTTGCGCAACCACGTGAAAGTATATTTCGTTAGCGTAGAGATTTATTTATCTAAGATTTCTTTTACGATGGAGTCTATTTATGATTTGAGTTGTTTGCGAGATATAGAAAGAACCTTAAATAATCTAATCATAGTATCACCTACCTATTCTGTGACAGCTCACGGTCAGCTAGATAATATTTAGAGAATTAAATGTTATTGTATGTCGCTGATAATATCATAACATTGACACTGCTTTCTAGATAGCGTTCACAAATCACTTTCAAATTTTAATAGGTTATGTTTTCTATTTCCACGTGATAACATTTGGCGGGAAACTGCTTCCAGTGGTCGACCTTTGAGGTATTACGTCATTGACATAGTTCTCGACTGCAGAAACCGACAGTTTTTTTGTTGTGACTCAGACGTTGGTTTATTATAAATTTTTGCCATGTTACTCTGATAGTTACACGTTCATCGAGTTCCATAGTTATAGCGAAGGTTAAATAAAACGTGACGACGAAAAAATACATTTAGTGAAAGATATATAAATATATAAAATAGTATTTCATAAAAAAATATATATTTTATAATAAAATATGATATTACATAAAATATTAGTATCTCATAAAAATATATAATATGATAAAATGTGATATAATAGGTATTACGTATCAAATATTTGGCGCCGTGAACAAAAAACGAACAAATATGGTATTTAAATCGAACATAAAAATTAAATTTGAATAACATTAATAAAAACAAGAAGACTTTATCAATATTCACGAGCACGCGAGTTATATTGTCAAATGTTGATCCGCATTGGCTAGAACCTCGGTAATGTAACCTTGGACATTGTGTGTTGCCAGGCCGCGATCCGTCCGGCTCTCGATAAACAAAACTACAAGAATCATTCCGAACTACTAACTCAATATTAATTTGCAAAACGGTCTCATGAGATTACATTTAAATTTATTCCAAATAATGCCGATATCTGAACGCACGCTATAATAAATACGTATGATAATAATAATTGTATTGTACGTATCCTATGCTATATTACGGTTACTAATGTTTATGTAACTTTATCGTTTATTGCGTGCGATGTGTGTTGTTCTGTTATCTCGTCTCATTGTTCTGCGATATATACCTACTCGTAGAATCGTTTTAAAAAATTAAAATCCAAACAAAAACATCGTTACTTATTTAGAAACTCTTCTTAAATTTTGGCTGTTCTAGTTCAAGAAACATAATAGATATTTTAGACACTTGAAGCTACACAATTTCTAAGCCAAAACATTATCAAACATTCACGGACACATAATTTATTAGATCACGTCAAAAATGTCTGAAAACTCTTAACGAAATTCACAGCTACCCTCAACCCCGTATTTCACAGGCTGGAAGACCATTACAAAGCAGATTAAACAGTAGTAAAAATGAACGTAAAATTTTTATGGTTATGTACACCATATTTTTTCAGAATTAGAAATGGTCACAAAGCCCGTCGCCGCCCCCAGGGGACTTACAAAAAAGAATTCCGGTGCATTAAGTGCTTTACGGGCTGGCTTTTACAGTCTCGTCCTAGTGGATGAAGTCGTAAATTATAACAAGTCGACTGCAACAAGGTGCAGCCATCGGGGCTACGTTACCAACAGCTTCAGATAGTCGTAAAATCCGTGTACCGATCTATTGTAGTTCCCGCCACGCCTTCGCGGCTTTACTACTCGTTTTATGAATAACGATCGTACTTATATTCAAATGAGCGGTCTATTCTCATCGTACCCTATCGATAAACTGTAACGTCGATGTTAAAGTTATCACTTTTGTTTTCAGATTTCTTGAAGCCCCGGAAAAGGCTATCGGGGAACGGGAAGAAGTCCCCCGCGCACAGCCACAAGCACGAGTGTGGTCACGGGGCTCACATTCGTCCTCCCAAGGTGGCTCGTCTATCGCAGCCGCATTTCAAACGCACGAGCTAGGCCTTCCTGCACCGCCTACCCACTGCCGGCCAGATTGAACAAAACCATCCCAGGACTCTTGGGCAGCTCTGTGAACCCATTCTCTATTTGTAGCCAAATCCCTCGCGCAGGCCAGTGACGCTTAAACGTTCGAAACCTAAATAAAATCATGTGCTGTTCAATATGGCGGACGGCTTTTTATTTTATGAAATTGTGCAAATTTAATTTTTAATTTCTTAATTTATTTTGAGTACCGTGACGTGTTCGCGCTCGCGGAATATAATAATGTTAAGTAATTTGTAAGATAATTCATAGATAGATACGGATAGCTTATAATTATTATTGATGTTTTACGTAAATTCACTTGTCACGCGACGCATCACAATACAGTTCGCCCCCTCCTTCGCCGCTCGACAGAACTGTTCCTGCAACAAAAGCAATATCATGTTGAACCTAAAACAGACTACACAGTCCCGTTTACATAGTGACAACTAATTATAAGTTTATTATGATCTCTTACAAGTAAATTAAGTTATTTAGATGTAATATCATAGTTTTAAATGTTAAGGTTTCAAGGACTAATCGGATGTGTCTGTTTTCATTGCCTGGATGCGTGAAAAGGTATGGTCACAATGCGCACGAATGCTCTGATTATGTCGAGTTGTACCCGTTGAAATCAAATTTCCCGCCTGCAGCTAGGCATTTTTAATGCATTCAATAAAATATACGATTTCTTTTTTTGGATCGTCCCTGTGCTCAAGCAAGGAAGGTGCAAAAGATAATCGAACGCAATTCTTCAAAACCAATATCATTTAGTATAAGTTAAATATAAAATACAAATACTCAATAAAAGACATTTTCGTTACCGTTCGATGTAACAGAATAAATAGTTAATAATGTTAAAGTATTGCCAATTTTAAGTTATAGTAAAATATTACGAAGCTACTTTGAGTATTTGTGTTTGCTCCTTCATATTCTTAGTATATTTGTTTTGTTGTTGTATTTTAATGGATTATATATATATTTACAAAGGATTATTGTTTTTTTTTTTATTGAATCGTCTCGTTCTAATCCGACATATAATTCATTTCACAGAACCGCGGTTCCTTATAAAAAGAGTACAAATTTCTCATTGGTTTTAGGCGAAGGTTCCGCGGTGTTCTATTAAAAGACAAAATTCATTCGGTCATAAACTATCATTCATGATTATCATTATTCGAATATGTACCTCTTATATATAAATACTTTGCGTATATTTTGTATTTTGCAATACAACTTTATGTGTTGTATGAAATAAACGTCAAATTCCGACAAAGCTGAATTGCTAATGAATTGTTTTACAATGAAATTGACCCATGATTTATTTCTGTAACGATCTTTTAATTAATTTTACAGTTTAGCGACTGACTTCAGATCGGCAGTACGTTAATTACCTACGTGACCTAAGTTTATTGGAAATGACTTTATTCATTTATGAATTGTGCTTGTTGTCTCGAGAAATGGACTGGATCGTTTTATGAATTGTAATTTAACTTCAACATTTTACCAAATATTAGTGTCTGTTTAAAACGAAATTAAGACAAATCACATATATGTTTCCGGAACCCTAAGACGATGAACTCAGTTTCCCGAATAACACGAGATTAATTTAATTTCTATTCAGACGCTACTCGTGTCTCAATCTCTTAGGGTACCTTTCAATAATTTTAATTTCTTTATAATTTTTTTTAACACCTGTGATGTATTAAATATGATCTCAGAAAGTAATTTAACGACATATTTTGTCATGTTTAGCTTCTTTTTTTTTTTTAAATAAGTACATAAATACAAATTCCAATATCCCGGGACGGAAACAGATGAGAAATAATTTAATACATCAATATGTTTTTTTTTGTTTTTTTTTTTTTGTTTATTGCGATATTATTTTGTAATTGTGAGGTTTTGTGTTTGAGCGACGATAATAAAATGGTTTTAAAGGCGATTTTTTTTTCTGTTTATTATTATTAAAACAACGAACGTTTTATTTTTAGTAATACTAACACACGAAATATCGTAGTCGACTGCAAAACAAACAAAAAAATCTCTTCCTGTTGAAACTAAATTTAGACAAACGTTCGAGCCGTGAAAAGATTAACTATGAATGCCCCTACACCGTGTGTTCGAACGATAAACAGTACAAGACGTAACGCGCTTCTAAATCGCCTTTAAACTTCGCCTCATCAAATTTCGACTGATTGAGGGTAGGCATAACTGCAAATTTTCGAAGATCTCCGCCGCACTGTAAATAATAAAGCGCACCACCGTTTTATTTATATTAGCGGGGTGTAATTGGTGCGTCACGTATGTGGGATACGCAAAAAATAATATATTTTGTATTTTAATATTCTCTTAAGCTACAGAGGCAATATGATTATTGCACGTACAGGGTCTCGCTGATCGAGATATGCAATAAACCGTGTAAGTAATTTGAAACTACGTTGTAGAATTTTAACGGTAAACTTCAGACTTATTATTCCATCAAGACACAATTTAGAACATTATAAAAACAAGAAACGTCTGGAAAACATTAACAATTAAAAATAAAAAAAAGTTTGTACGCGTCGTTTCAAATTACAAATTGGCTATTAACGCAGTCTACTAATTAAAAGTGGGCTGGTGAATGTTTTCTTATTCACTTTTGTTAACGACTTCACTTGTAAATACGGATATAACAACACAATGTTTTATAAATGTACTAGTTTCTTGTAATGTCTAATGTATAAAACTTAAATCTAGTTAAAAAAAAGCTTATTCAGTCGTATCTTTGGTTTTTTTTATCTCCCAACCCAACCAAAATATCCAATAACCTCGGCTTACGATAATAATGAATCGTAATATAAAAAAGCATACTAAAGATGTCTACCTACACATCTAGACTGGGGCACATTGCATTAACGACATCTATGAGTGGTTATGACCGCTTTAGATAAGGCTGGCCAGTAAAGTCATTAGCTTTAAGGACAAAAAGATACGTGAATACCCATGAATATGTACCTATCCTATTTAGCTGTAAAAATTCACAGTAGTGAGAATTTTTAATGCCTTTCTATAGTTTTGGCAATCTGCGATCTCATGTCTCTAGTTTCTTTTTTCCTACCTATGCTTGCCTTGAGATAGCCTTGAGAGGCTATTTCAGCTTCACCCTAACGTGTGTAGGTGAGCTCACGGGGCTCAAACCGGAGTGTTGCTAACACTGACCCTAGCAAGAGCAGCGCTTCGCAGAATCTACCGCCGGATCAGAAACACGACCCACTGAGAAGATCCGGCGAGAAACTCAGTGGGCTGTGTCTATGGGTTAATTCGCTCGTCGAGCCCTTCGTCGCAAGCGATGGGTTCGACGAGGACGGTGACCGGCGCTTGTGGTGCCTAAAAGCACCGTTAATGGATCGGGGGTCTCTAGTACTAAATGATTAATGTTAAACCAATAAAACAATAATCTGATGCTCGTATGAAAATGTTTATTGATATCACAATCAATTCTACACAACTACCCATTTAGTAAACCCGACGACATATTCGTATGTGTACTGCGATTAAAAGATGATACACAAAGATACATTTAGTACACCAAAAGGCCGCAACATGGCCGACATCGCTACCACAAAACATTAACATTTATTACTGATTAAAAACGCACATACTATTCTGGATTAAACAATGCAAAATACCATTTCGCGTGCTATAAAATGTTTATATTAATAATATCTAAAACACTAGTGTAGGTACTTCACAATCAGCTATGTACGTGTTTTTGTGGTGGCAATAAAAAAAAGAAACTGTTACATAGAAAGTTAATCTAATCAATACCAAGATTTCGTAACGAGAGAGAACCACACTGATTAGTGAACAATATTAGTCGATTAGATTTATTAAAAGTGCTTCATAGAAAAAAAGTTATGCAAAAGAAGTTATTGTCTCAAAATACATTTAGAGTTACTCAGTTGTCCTATATTATTAAAATAATACGTTACAGATATTGAAACATTGAGATCTCGATATTCAATAGTGTTAGACCATATGCTCCACCTTCCAGACACATAATACAATAATACTATAATATAACTATTTACAGTTACGATACAGTTACACTTAGGCACATCGATTGTTATAAAATTACAATTTATTTAATTCGAAATCGTGATCCTGTTACAATTAGCTAGACATACTACCACAAATCTCGTACATATAAAGTGATTTACACGTAAGATATCGATAACAAATATTTAAATGAATGCATAATCTACAACACTGATAATAATTTAAAATGCAACTTCTTTTTCTTATATAACACTACGTATATAAGGAAAGAGTCATAAGCCGTCAGACTCGGGGATATTTGATAAATTTGTACTTTAGTTTCCCCTACGTCCTAGCGTAATGGCTGGCATAGTTCATATTAAATATACTAAATTTTGTGAATCTGAATATAACATTATTCTAATTTGGTCGTAATCCTATTTTAGTGAGATATTAGCATATAATAGTGTGGTACGCATATTTTAGTAAAAATGTACAAATCAAGCAACATGCAAAACCTATTATCGATCTTTGAGGTTTATAAATATATAGCACGTAAATGTCAAACATCTCTGACAATTTCGATGCTCTTAAACAGCCCCTAGGTTTTGCATATCCTTCAATTTGCTAATAATTTGCAATTCTACACACAATAAATAACCAACACTATAGTATATAATAATATGCTGGACGCTAATAAAATACTAACAGTAGTGAAATGTAAAAAGACGAATATTCAACTTTGGACACAAATATCACGTTTATTATAAAGAATATGTAGTAATAAATTTATCGAACTTTCGAAACGCAGCAGTAGGTGATTGCTGATCAAATGGCTTAGCCTGCTAGCTTGTTCAAAATCTGTAAGTTTTTTAATTTTTTTTTTTTATTGCTAGATTAGTGGACGAGCTCACAGCCCACCTGGTGTTAAGTGGTTACTGGAGCCCATAGACATTTACGACGTAAATGCGCCACCCACCTTGAGATATAAGTTCTAAGGTCTCAAGTATAGTTATAACGGCTGCCCCACCCTTCAAACGGAAACGCATTACAGCTTCACGGCAGAAATATGCACGGTGGTGGTACCCACCCGCGCGGACTCACAAGAGGTCCTACCACCAGTAATGAAGTAACAGTTATAATTACACGACGGGTTTTCGAAATTTACTCCTTAAGAATGATGATTCAAATTTTGACTTTAGTCTAGAAAACAAATCCACTTGATCAGAATTCGATATGACACGGTGCTACACTACGCGTAAATTACACCCACAGCTTGTACAAATTGTATACACTATGATAAAAATCTAAATTTAATAAAAGCCATCGCTACAGCTACACCCCTGATATTTTTGCGTTCGCAACGATTTGAATGAGCTCGGAGAAAGCCTCATATCATCATTTATAACCACGAAGCTGTTTATGTTTAAATTCCAAACATTAATTTATTATTAAACCTTAAACTGGAAATTTTTACGAAAATTGAAAATTTGGAAAGTACGTTATCGTCAGTAGGTATTGCCAATCGTAAAAACAAAATAAAGTAGGTATTACATTGTGGCCGAGTCAACATCCAAACCGTTGCTTTGTAAATATTACTTAACTAAATTAACGGGTCTATTGCCCTATTCATATCTATAAGCTCTACATAATTATAAAAGACTCTTTAGACATCTGCGGATTGTTATACGGTTTGATATCGGAGGTGCGTCAGAGAACTTCAAAACAGTCTGGCTGTTACAGTTGCTGTCGCACTAAGTACGAAATTTGGACGGCAAAAAGTTGGTTATAGTCGTATGGTAAACAAACTACCGTTGTAATAGAAATTCATAAAATACAACATCTAAACGCTACTAGTAACATAAAGAATTGATTATAAAATATTGAGTCGTAACTTTCACATCTAGCGTGTACTAATTCAGCAGAATTTAAGTTACATTCAATTATTAAACTACACACAATATTAAAGCTCATGAAAATCTTGCATTATTAATTCAGTGCATATGAGACCGACATCATAATTCAGTAACTGGTCATATCTACTCATCAATTTCTATTACAAGGATCATAGATATTATTATACACTTATTTATTAATTTTAAAGTTCATTTTTGCATACAATAATATGAATACGATAATTTATTCATTCTAACAGCGAAACATTAAAAGCGACATCAAACTAAAGATCCAAAAGCAACAACTACATTCACTATGTAATGATATCTAATTTAAATCCGAATGTTATACTTAGTACATACGCAATGTTGCAATGAAATATAGCGTATTTCAAAATTGTAACTCTAATAGATTATTACGATGCATTACGTGATTTAAAATGACTAGATATACATATGGATAGACATGTGTACTTTTATTTCAATTAGACACTGAAACAAGACCATTGGGAACCTATTACACAGAACTTCTGTGACAGAAGTCACATACTAATTCTTCTACATAATAATATATCCGTACAATTAAATTTATCAAAGTCCGCCCTACAAAAATGTTTGTAATTATTTTATGATCCAAAAAGCTTATTAATTATTATCACACACATAGACACCTAGTATTTGTAGAAATTTCGATTATAAAAGTTTTAAATCTATAAAACTATTAGCAGACTAAACACTAACAAAATTCATTTTGCTTTATGCTATATCAGACTTCAAATTAGAAAAGGTAGATAATTAATTAATCTTAATTCAACAATCAAATTTATGATTTATCTAATAGTCGAATTTTAAAAGTTAATTTTTGCGAAAAATATCTTTTTCTCGTGCAACAATTTTGACGTACAATTTTGATCCTTATATCGAATCGTTTTTTTGTTTTTATTTCTCAAAGTTAACTCGACGTTTGCGAACATTCAATAATTAATTACGTTAAAGATTTTTTATAAGAGTATAAACGTGTTACTAGCTTAGATTAAAATTAATAACATCACATCGATAGACAAACTACATGTAACTACATAATCTGCTACGTATGCTTCTTGCTATAAAACTTCAAAAGGCGCTGCCGTCGTCCAACCAAATCTACTTAGTTAAATACAATATTAATAATGTAATTTAATAGTATTGTGATTAAAAATATTAGAAGAAAATGCAAATTCATTCTATATATACTGCGGAAACACACACTAAATTTTCCTAAGGATACTCTAAACACCAATATTTGTCACTATTGACACTAAGAAGGGGCTGAAAACTGACTAAACAGCAAATAAATGTAATGATTATTGTCTGACACTGGGTTATTGTCGAGACAGCAGCTCAAGGCGTCAACCGCCAATCTATTGACTATTTATTTAAAATCCTCACATCGCAGCTTACCTGGTTCTTATGTTGACACCAATTATATTAAACTATTTCCACAAAAATTAAGATTAGATATTAAATTAAATTACCAATCAATCTACCGTGTAAATACTGCATACTTTTTATAATTTTATTCTTTATTTACAATCGAAAAAACTTCATAACTCCAAAAGCGCATAACTACTACAGAAATCACCAAAGATAAATCATGGGTCATTGCTCTTTGGTTATAATAACTACGCGGCTATTTTCAAGAACCTAAAATACTTCGCAATTTTTAGGTAAGGCGCGATGCGAGTTCACGTGATCATCGTTGTGACGTCAGCTATTCACCACCAAACATTACGAAAGATCGCGGGTGGAAATCGTCTTCCCTGAATATGATTCACTGCTCACACGTTATTTCTCCATCAGACGAGAGGCGTACGCTGTGAATACAAATGTAGGTCTCTCAATTACTACTTTCACAAGCGAGGGAATCTCTTCAGACACTGAATAATAAACAGCCGTTGACTTCACAATGATGATTAATTTATTTTAATTCTAACGATTGCGACGAGAACAAAAGACAGGCCCACTAAATTATAAAATAAAAAATGAATAAAAATGGGATCAGGAACTCAAGGAGTAATTAATCTATAATAAGGGATGTTGACCATGTTAAAACGAAATCAATCTAAATGACGTCAGCCACTTTGAAATGTTAAAATAAGTCAACATCCCTCGTGCATATTTTGAACTCGCTGTTATGACATTCATCGAAATGTCAAACGCCAAATTCAATACACACAACTGGCAAAGGGGTAAAAATAAAAAAAAAATAAAAAAGGGATATTTGGATGTTTATTTACATTTCGCTCTCTAATAATAATAATTATTCGATTATTATTGAAGGGAAATTAAGCAACATAAATTCCATACCCCCCGATAACCCACAATTACACGAATTTTAAAACAATATGTTAATCATTTTCTTGTGTTACACAAGCCTATAATTCTAGATAAAACAAAAAAAAAATACCCATTACTTTAATAGTTAGCTCTCGTACACGGTACAGTGTTATAGTGATATTAAAAACAAAGCCTTATAGTAGTTTCACCGATATTACAATCATATTATTATGAATAAAATATAATCACAGTAATATATAAATAAATCAAATAAAAAACCTAATAATGCATCAATGCATGTTGTTGTTGCCTTACAATATAGAATGTTAATGTTACAATAAGAGTCCAATTACACTCGGTATGGTCTATCATAAATCATCTTATCAACGATATTTGTACATTGATATCGAGTCCAGTAATAATGAAATTATTCGTAAATAACATTGAATTTATTCATTTTCAATTTCAATGTTGATTAAACGGTGAAACTAAAAAAAACTTAACTAAATATACATACAGCGGGGCACTAATAATTCGGTTAAATGCAAAAAAATTTATACAAATGATTTTTTTTTATTGCAACAACCCATTTCACAATCAGTTATTATTATTTTTTTCTATTTTATTTAAGATCACAGTAAATCGTACTGATACAGTTTACAAAGTTCTATCCAAACATATGCCCCTGATATGCAAAATATTAAAATAATAATAATGATAATAAGGCAAACTCAAAACGTCTAAACAGTATCTCAGCGTTTTTTTTTTTACTACAAGATAAAGAAAATATTATTAAACATTCCATCCATCAATACAATGAATAATATGCTTAAATAATAATAATAATAAAAAACCCAAAACTCCGATAGAATCTTAAATTAATGTTTTTAAATGTATCGAGGGTAAAATGATTGCAGTGCTTTCTGTACAATATACGTTTAGTGTGAAATGATTATATTATGTGCACATTCGAACAGAGATCATTGACTAACGCCTCGATATGAGGACAATCTCGCTTGGATCCACACGGACAGGATTGAATGGACTCTATATACTATGAATTAAATTATAGCATTTTAAGTTTCTAATCCCTATACAAATATCAAACTGATTAGAAAATATTTATTATGAATGAATCTAACAATCCACACGACTTCACTATATGTTTCAATTACGTTAATCAAATAATAAAATATTGTGGAATCCATAGTCAATTAATTACGTTAAAACTTATTTTTGTAAATATAAAGAGTCCATTTAATATTAAAAATCCGTAGGAAACAGACCATCACATTGAATAGGTAAACATTGCTTGAACAAAATTGTCTTTTATATCTCATTTACAAAACATATTTTGAAATCGAACATATTTTGAAATTATATATTTATTAATAACGAAATTAAGATTTTGATTTTATTCCTTTAAAAGATGTTAATTATGCAAACGTTTCCCATATTGAATGCGATGTCCACAAATGAGATGAAACAATTAAAAAATTAATATTAAAAAAAACAATTAAAACTATAACCGTAAATGAAACTTAAATATAATATTATTGTCGGGCAGCAAAGCTTTTTCACTAAATACGATAAAAATTAACATTACCATAGTCTTGTCATAAAAAAGGTTTTTCTCTTTTTAATTGACGCTAAAACAACTTTAAATACACAAAAAAAAATCATTAAAACTGCATTTATCTATTCAACTAAAAGCCTTAAAAATAATTAAATTTATTATATTAAATTATAGATATCAAGTTCGTGTCACCGACAATGGTCGGTGTTACCGGTTAATAAATGACTGAAAAATTGTACGATATGACTAAATCATTTAATACTTGTTATCAATTAAATTGACCCAATAGCCGTTGTACACACATTAAAATCGAGAAGCATAAATGAACGATAAGATTACTAAATATACAAATTTGTGTCGATTGAAGGAAAAAATAATAATTAAAATACTAATGTATTTTTATTCCATAAAATAATAAAAAAAGTCTTCTATATTATTATTATTATTATTTAAATAGGCAAATCACCCACAAACTTTCCTTAATTAAGATAAAAATTGATGAAATTAAGAGAAAAATAACATTTGGGCCTGTCAAAGGCAAGCTTTTTAAAAGTATAAGTAGGCAAAGGGAACGTCATCCCGAAAGACACGACACTAGGTCAACGCGTCAACGACCGAGCGTCACTAAACTAGTCAAAAATTAAACTAATAAATCAATCGCAGTCGTACAAATAAATTGCATTATGTATCATTAATATTTACTTAATATTTTTTTTATTTCTTTTTCATTTACTTTCAAACGATTAGTTTTTAACAAATTGGCTTCTATCTAATGTGAATATACATGCATATTACACCCTTAAATATTAGTGTGTACTAATTAATATAAAAATTCTTGAAATCTAACATCTATACAAGTGTTCCGTCACCACGCCCTACACGAAATAAACATACACATTAATTATTTAGAACTATTAAAATGAAATAGGCGACGTAAGTATTAAATAGACACAGCTCATGAAAGCGAGCGGAAAACGCTCTACACTACGAATACGGTAAATAACAACTAAACATNATTAGTGTGTACTAATTAATATAAAAATTCTTGAAATCTAACATCTATACAAGTGTTCCGTCACCACGCCCTACACGAAATAAACATACACATTAATTATTTAGAACTATTAAAATGAAATAGGCGACGTAAGTATTAAATAGACACAGCTCATGAAAGCGAGCGGAAAACGCTCTACACTACGAATACGGTAAATAACAACTAAACATTGAAAAACAAAAGCGTATACACTAGACCTAAATACATTTCTAAACGAATGAAATAATAATTGACGAGACTACTACGGTCCTTTGTTATAAAAAAAATCGCGTTTAATTCGCATCACAAGCGCACGCGCGGCACTACGGCCCCGACCCGTAACGCAGCGACGTCAACAACTCGCCATTACAAGATTTGGTACAACACTAACGTCTACGATAATTATTAGTAAATGCAACCTAATCGATCGGCTTTAGCGATAAAAATCAAAAATTTACAATCAATATAATACAAACGAGAGAAAACGGTAGTAGTAATGAATATATCGAAATGAAATCAAAACAATAGTCACTAGTGCATTCCTCAACTTTGGGGAATGAACGTCGAATAGTGAACTACACGTCACAGTACGGTACACGCAGGTACGTATCGAAGTATAAATTAAAAAAAAATTATACATATATTTCACAAAACGAACAAACATTTTGTACATAAACGTTTTGAGGAACCAGAGGAACATTATTACGCGCGCTTACACACTAGTCATAGTTTTATTAAAAAATCGCAGTGTGATTATAATTATATCGTTATTGGTTCCTTTCACTCTCGAGCGCCCTCCGCGAGCTAAACACACGGCGCCGCGCCCGAGGGACGTAGAGAGGGTCGACTCAACAATATTAACCGTCCTATCTTTATTATCATTCTACCACATAAAACACCGAATCTTTATTAAAATTTATAAATAGTTTTATCAACGTGCTAGAAAACAGACGACAAAAGGGAGAGACCATCAACAGTTGCAGAAATTCAATTGAATATATAAGATACTGATGCTAAAATTGTTTTATTAAAATTTTAATTTGTCTCCCTTCTTAATATCTATTATCGTGCTCGGACACTAGACTCTCGCGTCACTACAGCACCGAAACACACGCAAATTACAGTGTGCTTAGTGCGAGTTTTTTAACGTTCTCGATAGCGTAAACGTTAGCTCATATTTGTATGTAATGGCATCGCTTGCCTACGTTCGCCGCTAGGGGCGCTGTTCCAACTGCATACAAAATTGGGCTAACTTTTACGCTATCGAGAACGTTAAAAAACTCGCACTAAGCACACTGGTGAAGTATCCTCATCATTAACTGTATATTTATTTAAAGGGCAATTGACACTTGGAGAGTTTCTCAAACGAAATCGTCACGTGCCTTCGAGCATTACCCACAAGCACTTGACTATTTAGATCGGCTAAACCGGTCGTTTTAAACAGAAACCAATATTGGTAGACTGTCACCGTGTCAATGACCCTTTATAGGCCGCTCCACACTTCAGGTGAGAAATACGGCGCGAGTTATTCGTCCTTTTAATATTGGCTTCTTTGATGACGATTAAAAGCGGATAGAAGTCGGTGGAGGAGATATCGCAAGTTCGCACGTGGTTCTGGGCTGAGTGTGGTGCTGTTGGTGGCGCAGTTCAGTCGGTGTACCACAGGTGTTGCTGGTGGTGCTGCGGCACGAGGTACGTGGGGGAGTAGGGCTGAAGGTAGCCGGAGAGCCGCGCGTTGGCGTGGTGCGCGGGGGGAGGACCAGCCACTCCGCCGACACCGCTAACTCCGCCCCTGTGTTTAAATATTTAATCGTTTAATACTGTAGTTTAGTATTTTTTAAGGGATTTTATGACCTGGTAACTAAGGCCTTTAAGTAATGTCTTATTTTAATTAATATTCTTATTTTCATGAAAAATTATAATATGGAGTGAAATGAAATTGAGATGATTAATTTGAGACATTAATCAACTGGGATGAAATTAAATGAAATGAGATGATATGGGATGAAAGTTTTAATTTAATGCTATAGTTGTTGCAAAGTACAACTGCGCACCGCCCTTAGTGGTGACTAATCTGTATACGGACTTTTTGGTGGGAACGCGAGGAATGAAGGTTGTGTGATTTGTTTTATTTTGTCTGTTTAGTATTTCTCCAGGTTTAAATGTGTAATAAAGGTGGTTTAGTAACTGTTTAATATCTGTGAAAGTGCACAAATGCGGGAAAACCAAACAAATCCGCTGGACGTAACTTTTCGGGATCCTCCAAAAAGTCCACTGAAAAAATCTTAGTAAATGACCACCATTATATTGAGATTATATGTCATTCCATATCATCTCATCTCATTTAATCCCAGTTGATTAATGTCTCAAATTAATCATGTTCATTTCATTTCATTTCACTCCATAATTATTATCATTTTTCATAAAAATAAGAATATAAATTAAAATAAGACATGACCTAAAGGCCTTAGTTACCAGGTCATAACATCCCTTTAAAAAAATATCTGTATACGCGTCAATGTATATAATATGTACATGTAGCTAATGTAGCTACTGACGGCCCCGTCGGGTCCACACTCTAACGAAAATGCGTATTTACAATTACAACTACAAATAAAGGCCACGCGCACTCGTACTTTGTAACAACTATAGTTAGTACATATTAAGTTGAATAAGTTAGTTAAGTTGAATCCGCACGAGTAAGTACCACCACCCTGCCTATTTCTGCTGTGAAGCAGTAATGCGTTTCGATTTGAGGGGTTGGGCAGCCGCTGTAACTATACTTGAGACCTTAGAACTTATCTCAAGGTGGGTGGTGGCATTTACGTCGTAGATGTCTATAGGCTCCAGTAACCACAACACCAGGTGAGCTGTGAGCTTGTACACTCATCTAGGCAATAAAAAAAAGATGAGGATGAGGTTATAATTTAACACCAGGTGGGACCGTGACATCGTTCCATTATTAATCAATATAATAAATGTTATATAATGGATTTATATAACTCACGTGTGATAGTGATAGGTGGGAACGTATAACGGAGGCGGGAGGTATCCAGGCGACACTCCGCCTCCCGGGGACAGCACGCCGCCACTGCCCGGTCTGTAATAATACCAAATTGTTTGCGTTTAACTCAAACTAAAGCTTAAATTCACTTCATTGGATGGCAGATACAGTAAATTTCTTTATGAAAATCTTCGAGTATATTTGTTTGGGATTCTCTCACATATCTTTCCGAAACCTATGGACAAACGAAAACATCCTAGTTTTACTTTTTTTTATTTTACCTAAGCTGATAGCCTTGAGAGGCTATGTCAGCGTAACCTAACAAACAAGTGGGTGAGCTCACGGGGCTCAAAACTGACGACGTTGCTAACACTAACCCTAGCAAGAGCAGTGCTTCGCAGAATCTACCACCCGATCTGAAACTCGATACAATGAGAAGATCCGGCGAGAAACTCAGCGTGTCTGTGGGTTGGCACATTCTAGAATGTTAATGCGACCTAAACGTTGACGTCACCGTACAAAAGTGTACTACTAAAATTACGATTGACATTCGTTGTTTTTGTTTTCACCACGACGTGCCTTTGGCTGGCTTTTTATGAGCTATAAAGTATCAGCCCATGGTCTATTATATATGAATGTAATGTCGATATATGATGTATACGCTGGCCGTACTTGTAGTGCGGATGCGGGTGGTGGTGCCAGGCGTGGGGCGCGTGCTTGTGCGCTGCGGGCGGGCCCGGCACGTACTCGCGACACCCGCCGCTCTGCGAACAAAATACAGATTATATCACATTATTTTTTTAAGGGATTTTATGATCTGGTAACTAAGACCTTTTAGGTCACGTTTTATTTTAATTTATATTCTATTCTTTTTGAAGAAAGATAATTGGGGTGAAATGAATTTACTGATGGTAGGACCTCTTGTGAGTCCGTACGAGTAGGTACCACTACCCTGCCTATTTCTGCCGTGAAGCAGTATGCGTTTCGGTTTGAAGGGTGGGGCAGCCATTGTAACTAGACTGAGACCTTAGAACTTATATCTCAAGGTAGGTGGCGGCGTTTACGTTGTAGATGCCTATGGGCTCTGGTAACTGCTTAACACCAAGTTCGCCGTGAGCTCGTCCACTAACCTATGCAATAAAAAAAATGAAACAAAAAAGATAAGAAGAACAATAAACAGTTTTTATATTTATATATAGAAAAATAATCGTTGCTCTAGCTATAAAAGCCACATATACAAAGACTAAATACGACCATAAGGTCTACTGGTTAGAGCTCAAAGTTTAATTAAAACTTACGCTATCCCTCTTATTGTGCTGCGGCGGCGGCACGTACTGGTTGCACTGGTAGTCGTTTGTTTGACGTATTGTTGAACCATTCTGTAATAAATAAAAATTTCAATTAAAAACCCAGCACATATCGTCTTCTCGCATTAAAACTGTACTAGTGGTCCCGTAGTAGTCGAAATTCGACTATAATTAATTGAAACTGTAAGTTTGCACACTATCATACTTCTATAATCAAAAATTTCGCCAAGACTACACTATAGAAAAATATCAATAAAGACAAACAATATTTAATCTATTCTCAATTTGACCACAGACGTCAAGAACAAAAGTTTGACAATAAATAAATAGTAGGTATGCATGCGTGTGTGCGTCAAATACATGGTAGTGTGTGTAATGTTTTTTTTTATTGATTCAATGTATTTTTTTGGCATAAATTAAAAAAAATTATTAAGATTCTGCACTCCTTCTCTATATTCTCTACAAGTGTGGAAAATTTCATGCTCCTCCGTCCGCGCAATTTTCGTAAAAAGGGATAAAAGTTTTCTCAAGGTGGGTGGCGGCATTTACATTGTGGATGCCTATGGGCTCCAATAACCACTTAACACCAGCCCCATCTAAGCGATAAAAAAAAAAGTAACCGTTGCGTAATGATGATGGTGGTCCACGGCGACGGGTTCGCGCTTGGCCTGCGCCTCCTGCTGGGCGAGCGCCAGCAGCCGCTTCTTCTGGCTCTGCGGCGTCGGCTGCGGCTGCTGGCGGGAGCTGCCCGGCGCCGCGTGCTGCGGGACCGCCGGCGGCTGCGGCTGCTGCGGCTGCGCTTGTTGTTGTTGCTGCTACGACAAATTATTTGTTATTTACTAACTGCACTCGAGAGAAATCTTTCAGTCGGAACTGCGATGAAGACATTAAATTACGTTCATTATAGATGGCGTGTAGTTTATAAAATGCAAAACGACCTATAAAACGACCGCGACGGACTGACAAAAAATATAATCTTTAAAATGTATTTTTTGTAATAAAACTTAAAGTAGTTCTTATTTATATCGATCGGTTGATACCAATTTTTGAAAAATAATAATATGAAAAAACGTTTTGTGAATGGATAGAATACGGAATGAATATGTTAGAGGAAGTCTGAAAGTGGCACCTGTGACAGAGAAGCTGAGAAGTGCACGTTTGGGATGGTATGAACATGTGATGAGACGAGATGAAAATGAGGTTGGTAAGAGAGTGTTAACTATGAATATGGAAGGATATAGAGGAAGAAGTAGACCTAAGAAGAAATGGGTTGATTGGGTGGATTGCGTGAAAGACGATATGGGTAAGAGGGTGTGAGCGAAGAAATGGTATATGATAGAGGAGTATGGAAGGAGAAAGCATGTTGCGCCGACCCCTGGTGACTGGGAGAAGGGCAGGATAATGATGAATGATAATGATGGTATGCAATATGGGAAGATGGGGAGATGCGGTACCGTATGGTGGTGGCAGGCGTGGTGCGGCTCGTGCTTGACGGCGCGCTCGTCCCGCGGGGAGCGCGCGCTGCAGATGACGCCGCCCGGCGCCGCCACCAGCGCCACGGGCCCGCTCGCCGCCGGGCACTCGTTGCCGCCTGTCGCGTTACATTCAAACATATGATATTATAGCACTTGTTATAATCGAATACAACTATGACCTGACCTGATATTTTTTGGAAGTGCTGGATCGAAATTATCTCGGGAACTGCAGATATATAAGCTTCGAAAAACATTCAAACAGACCCCACTTAATACTTGATTGATTTTGTTAATCATTTGTGAATAAAATCTCCAATCATATCGTGCCTTCAATTTATTATAATTTTCTCTTTTGCATGACCATTTTGACAAAACTAATTTAGGATGTTTATAATAGTGTTTTAACATACATAGACAATAATAATTGCACTGTTCGAACAGAACATCGATAACAAGGAAGAAATTACAGGATTTTCAATTAAATTTCTAACACATCTCGATGTCAATCCCAACGCTATAAGAACACCGTGGATAAAACTACCTAAGGTCAGTGTTCTATGTGCCTTTTGAGACGGATGTATGTATATCTGCGGGAGAAAGTGGAAATGTCGTAACTTACATTTTGGGCTAAACGACTTTGTACCTTATCATATAATACATATCGACGCTTGAAAGGCAAACGTGACTAAGCGACAATGCGTGAACTTTACAGTAGACTAATTTAAAGTTGAAATACCTGAAAAAAAAATCTATTTTAACGAATCTTTAGGGTTGAAATGATTTTAATAGACCTAGAAATATATTTTTTTTGCGTATCGAATATGGTTATTGTCTATAATTTATGTACAAAGCAGTTATTGTCGCTTAGTCACGTTTGCCTTTCTAGCGTTGATATGGTTCTAGTACAAAATTTGTCTTTTCAAGTTACGACAATTTCGCTTTCTTCCTTCGATATGTGAAGTGGTGGGGCTGACCGTTTTGTCGTTGCCTCGGCTCGTCGTCGTCGGAGTCGGAGATGGTGATGACGGACACGGCGGGCGAGGGAGTGTCGCGGATGGTGATGGTGGCGCCGCCTCCCTCCCATCCTCGACCATTCCTGTAATCAAACACCAAACTATTAAAACCTTTCTTAAATTCTCACAACACATTAAATACCGAAAAAAAATTATTGAATAAATGTAAAAGAATGATCATTTTTAATACACGAACATCGTAGTGTTAGATTACTAGCACAAGAACAAAAAAAAAAAACAAGTCATCTATATTTAACAACTTATATCTCAAGGTGGGTGGCGCATTTACGTTGTAGATGTCTATGGGCTCCAGTAACCACTTAACACCAGGTGGGCTGTGAGCTCGTCCAACCATCTAAGTAATAAAAAAAAATAAAAAAAATGTTTTTTACCTATTTCATGCTTTTTTGCTTTACATAGCAATTTGAAACGGCCTTTACATAACATTACTTCTCTCCTTTCATTATTGTTTTAATTTTGCCCTTCATAGGCTTCGTAGTTAAACGATAAGACCACATCCACCAAACTAACACAAACCAAATACTAACTTCACAATACCCAGACCACCCCGTCTCCTGTGACACAATGATTTAACTAAAAGATATTCGTGGCAATATCCACTAAAAACTTGTACTCTAGTAATTTATGGATTGCATGGACCTAGATTTAAAAACTAAAAGTAGAAATAAAAATTGATATGCACATGTTACCGTTACTAAAATAAAAGATGTTTCACAAATACGAACAAATTTAAACGGCAAGAATAATTATTTCTGTTATGAAATAGTTTTTGATATAAATGAAATATTAAGATGGAACTAGCACTGATAAAGTTTTATTGTTTTAATTCAAACAGCATTATTGATTTTCATCCACTCATCCTAGCCTAGGTAAAGTCCTTTGGGTCATTAATAAATCCTCCGTCCGAAAAAAAACTTCTTAATTTGTCCTTGTCTTTTTTATGTTTGTTTATAGCCATTAACTACTCGCCCTTTTAGCCAATCTTACCTTATTTTATATTCAAATTCAATAATCTAGCACAATCAGTGAAAGTCGAGACTTTACTGAGACTCCAATGATCTTTTTCAACGAGCCACGCAAAGTGGGGGCAGTCAATTTATACATTTCCCTTCCACTCTAACTTTTCAGTTACTTTTGGATCGAATAGCGGTATTATTCAAAGTTCAAACTAATATTAAATCAATAAAGTAAAGAAATATCACTAAGCTTCAGGATCCCGCCAAAAATCCTGTACATAAAACTCACGTGTTTTCATTGTGTTGATGTCTGTGCCTGGACGGCGGAGTGCCTTCCTTCACTCGCTTCTTCACCGGAGACAGCTGAGTCGGTTCCTTCTTACCCCCACTACTCGCCATACTGGAAATTATAATGCATTATTTAAAATAATGTCTATCACAAAACAAAGGATCCCAAAACACAATAACCAAACAAAAAATTAAACATCATTTTGTTAATCATATTTTATAAAATATTTTAAAGTGTCATTGAAAATGTTTAAAAATGAATTCCTCTAATTTTCTACTATAAAAACAATACATTAGCAAATGTTAATTAATGTATAGTCCCTTTAAAATGAATTTATGTTTAAATTTAAAATTTGATTTACTTTTATACTTAGATGAAACTTTCCTTTTATTTCATTGAGATAGCAACATTTATGACACACAGAAATAATAACATGAATAATTTCAATTACATCATTAATACAATTTATTATTAAATACTACAAGCAGATATATAAGAAACAAAAATATAAAAAAAAAATATCATTCCCGCTGAGTTTCTTGCCAATTCTTCTAAGGAAGGAGGCTATTTTTTGTGAATTGGCGGTAGTTCTTTTGACGTTCAACAATTATGTACATACTTTCATTTATGTTGAATAAATTTTTTTGATTTGATTTGATTTGAAAAAGCTAAACTAGAGTCTATTGCGATTTATGTTTTATAGTAACCAAATAAGTGTATGAGCAGAGAATGAAAAAGATGGAAAGTGAAGGTACCTGTGTTGTTGTGTTTGCTGGGGCGGCTGATAGTGGGACACCGCGCTCGTCTGCTGCTTCGTGGATCTGTTGACAACCAGTTAGTTGAGACATTTGTATTTACTTTATTTATTTATTTAATACATTTTGTACACACAGCTGTTAGAAGCAACACGACATACAAGGATACAGAGTACAAGGGCACTACTTATTTCACGTTGAAATCTCTTCCAGTAGGCCCGCAAAAGGAAAAAAGAATTAGGAACACAAACCTAGTGCATACAGTAAACATTACATATAATAATATATACATATTACAAGATACAAAACAATATATATATTTTTAATAAACTTGATCTAACCGGATTTTAGCTACATCCTGTATATAATTATCTACAGCAGCGGTGCGCAAATTAAGAGTCGCGATTCCTAAGGGGGACCCCGGAGGTTTTTGGAAATCGTCATTATTTTTATTTTGCGCTCTATTTAGTAGCTCTTAATAGTAGCAGCTCCCTCTATTTAAGGAGTCGCCATAATTTTTTACTCCTGAAGGGGTCGCGTAGTCGAAAAAAGTTTGCGCACCACTGATCTATTTTTATCACTATTGGCTATTTTAACAAAGAACAGCAGACGTGATCAGTAAAGGCGCATCCAATTTTGTGGAGAATTTGGTTTATATAAGTCAATACAATTAAAATCTCTTACATACCTTTTATGCGAGTGATGGTGATGCGGATGGTGAGGATGATAGGGATCCCAAACGTCAGGATCAGGTAGTGGAGCCGGTTCGACAATAAGTGGCGCTCGCCACTCAGCCACCTCTCCGACCCCCGCCACGCTCGCCACGCCGCCCACCCCCGCCACGCCCGCCACGCCTGCCACCCCGGCCACGCCCGCCACGCCATGCTGGTGGTGGACGGCAGCAGCGGCTGCAGCTGCGGCCGCGAGCTGTTGTACCTGTAACCGAAATTAAGTTTCATACATATAATACAACCTTTAAAGTTTTATTTTTGAGTAGATCAGAATTCTTTTTTTTTTCAAAAAACTACATTTAACATCTCAAATTGAACTCAAAGGTCCAGTGTTAGACATCATAAATCCAACTATTTAACCTGAACGTTAATAAAATACAAAAATTGACGGCCTTTCTAGTTCTATGGTATTCTTGGCCTTTTTTTTTGGTAAAATGTTTCCTTATTACGAAAGGCAAGGGGGATCTAAGCCCATTCAGCCTTGTCTGTTCTAGTATTCATAGAGATTAAGTAGTATTTAATTTTTCTTAATCTACTAAAAATAAAATAATTTACTAAGCTTCATTAAGATATACCTTAAAATATGTGATATACGTACATACGTATAGTGATTATACTGAACAATACTGACATTGGTAAGTTGGTACGCCGGCTGGCACAGGATGGAGGACACGAACTGGTGCGGGAAGGGGTCGGCCCTCGCGGCGTACTGTCGCGCTCCGCTGACGCCGACGCGACCTCCTTGGTACAGGCCGTACTGCAAGAAACAAACATCATGACATCCGTATTTCAAGTGTAAAATTTTTCAACACCACAGAGCTTTAAAATTAAACAAATAAATGGATTAAAAGGAGACAAACATAGCTTAAGTCTGCGAGGTAATGAGAGAGAACATTTATAAAGGTTTTACTTCTACCGCATGTAAATTGCCCAATTTTTTTTCATATTCTTGACATATCACAATAGTCCAAGATTTAAATGTTTTCGCAAAAGCAAAATCATTGTCCATCTATTCCAATTAATTCCATCTGACTGTTAACTAATCGGGTAATTCGTTTTTGTTTGAGCACGTAATGTATCTATACTAATATTATAAAGCTGAAGAGTTTGTTTGGTTGAACGCACTAATCTCAGGAATTACTGGTCCGATTTGATATAACATCACACTAAGACCAATACAAGCGAAGCACCAATAAAGAATGTTTCAAAATCGGGGTATTTTTCCCTTTTGAGAGCTTCCACTCCGTGCGCTGCGGAAACGATTAAAGTTCCGCTAAAGTAATGTATGAAAGAATTGTTCCCCTTTAAAACATCTAAAAAAAAGTCCGCGACAGAAATCGGTGAACATATATAGATAAAAAATTATGGTCGAATTGATAACTTCCTCTTTTGGAGTCAGTTAAAAAGTGTGATCTTGGTACCTTAAATAACTCCTTACATTTCACTTTCTACGTAAATGAAGAGGCGAGTAAAATTTAGCGTTTTGCCAAAGTAAGTATTCCACGCGGATGAAGTCACGGGCAAAAGCAAGTCTCATGAATACGTACGAGGTTGTCGTATGGCGCGGCCCGCAGCCGCTGCTGGTTGAGGGTGAGGGTAAGGTGGTGGGGGGCCGCGGCGGGCGCCACCACGCCGCCGTACTCCGCGCCGCCCACGCCGCCGCCCGACCGCCGACACACCTGCGACACGCGGACATCAATATAGTTACACAATTTGACTACATCAAACTTCCAAGTAACAAATTATAAAGCTTTTTAAGCTCAAATGATTTAACAAATCCAAATGTTAGAGTATAGTAAAGTTTATTAATAAAAAAAAAACAATTCAAACAAACATAAGTACCTCCATCATTTGCACAGAAGCCTTGACGTTGTTGCAATGCGCGTAGTCCACTAGGTGCGCCAGCGTCACGAAGGCGTGGTTCAGCGCTTCGCCCGGTGTAATCCTTCTCTCCTGGAAAATGCACAAACTTTACTATACTGCAGAGTACGTGCTGGTGTACGGCACACTGGTCAGTGTTGATCAACAGAAATTGTCTATTCCTATTGAGACATATATTTGGAGCAACTTCTATCATAGAATAGAAGATTTGCAACAAAAGTAAAATTTTGATACGTCCTGTCCTTCTGTATATGACCCGTCAAGAAATGACTCCGGCTCGATCAATATGTTTCTTTTGTCATTTTATTAATGCATACTAATGCTAATGTCTAGTAATGTATACTAATGCATATTAATGCATATATATCGACAATCATAACTTCACAAAAAAATATACAGTGTATGGTTGTCATCGATAAAACAAAAATTACAGCTCTTAATAAATTTAATATTGCAATTAATGAGGTCTAGACATACCTGGTCCATAGTTAACATTCTCTTTAGCAAATCAATAAATTCCCTTCTGTCAGCCTTCTCAGCCAACAGCTGACCCCCCTCGAGGTCCGTTGGCACATTCACCTAAAACATAAACGAATTTTCAATTGACACACCATAATAATATACTGGGACAGTAAAGAAGTTAAAACGAGATGGATAAACACAAAACACTCGTTATGGACTTGAAATCGCGAGTTCAATGACCTCCAGTGAACGCGCGCGCTCTTGAATTCGAGATTGACAACTGCAGCCGAGTTAGTTACCGAGGTACGAAAGAAGGTCAAGAAATTAACCGCGTAGACCAGAAATAACGCATTATGCAATGTATCCACGTCCTTTCAGATGGAATCTCACGATCGATTTTACAAATATGTATGTCAGGTGCGCACCTGTCCGATGTCGTCGAGACAGTTGAAGATGTACTTCCGGGCCTCCTTGCTCTTGATGCCGGTCTCCAGCTCGTGCTCCTCGGGCGTCTTCAGGCGCCAGAACGGATACGTACTGTCCACATCTCGGTAAAAGAACTTCGCCGTTTTGCTTGCACTGCAATGCGAATACAAAATTGTATTTGGGTATTTCGAAATAAGAATGAAAAATTAATTTTGTCTAGTGGTGTCTCTATAGTCGAAATTCGACTATAATTAATTGAAATTATAAGTTTGGACATTATTATGGCTCTATTGTCAAATATTTATTATACTTCAGATTTCGCTACACTACACTATAGACAAATAATATTAAAGACAAACAATAATAATCTGTTCTTAATTTGACCACAGACTTTAAACAATAACAAAAGTTTGACAATAAACACAGAGTATATTATGTATTTTTGTATTTCGAAATTGCTAATATTGAAAGATTTATTTTGACTAGTGGTCCCTCTGTAGTCTAAATTCGACTATAGTTAATTCAAATTATAAGTTTGGGACATTATTATGGCTCTATTGTCAAAGACTATTATTATACTTCAGATTTCGCTAAACTATAGACAAATAATATTAAAGTCAAACAATAATAATTTATAATTTGACCAGACTTTAAGCAATAACAAAAGTTTGACAATAAGCACAGAGTATATGTGTTGTGTCAAATACATGGTAGTGTGTGTAATGTTTTCTTGATTGATTTATTAAATTTTTTATGCATAATTTAAAAAAAAGCTTAACATTCTGCACTCCTTCTCTATATTCTCTAGAGTATGAGAAATTTTAAACTAATCCGTCCGTGCAATTTTCATAAAAAGTGGTACAAAGTTTCTGTTTCACGTTTTAATATATAGATAATTTAAAACATTTACACTTCCATTCTAGATGTATAATTAAGGTTTTTATTTTTTTTATTTGGCACAAATAAAATGACGTTACCTATTGAGCATGTGCTCAGTGGGCAAGCCCTGTGTCTGCGAGATGTATCTGATCTGGTCGTATTCCGAGGAGCCCGGGTACAGCGGCCAGCCCAGGAACAGTTCGGCCACGACGCAGCCCAGCGACCACATGTCGATCGCTTCGCAGAACGCCAAGCCCAGGATTATCTCTGGTGCTCTGCAAATTTATTTCTCTCAAAAATTTATCCATCTGCCATTATTAAAAACGCGCATCTTACCGACTTATACTTTAATTACCGTCAGCTACAAACTCAAATAACGATATTTCTATCTGTTAAATTAAAATATCCAAAAATTCGTTGTACATAGTTGTGTATTTAAAAATTATTTTCTATGAGTATGTAAATAAACAAAATCCTACGAATGTGTAGATCTACAGAAAGAATCGTGTACCGTATTACCTTAATTTAAGTAGTTATTAAGTTTTAAAATATATATACACAGATGTTTAAATATATGTATTGTGTTGCTTTTTTTGTACACTTTAATTTATTAATTTCTTTGTTCACTTTCTACGTGTCATGTTGATTAATTTCCACAGTGATGGAATAACGTAACGTATAATGAAAATCAAACCCGCAAAATTGTAATTTGCATAATTACTGGTGGTAGGACCTCGTGAGTCCGCACAGGTAAGTACCCAACCTGCCTATTTCCGCCGTGAAGCAGTAATGCGTTTCGATTTGAAGGGTGGGGCAGCCGTTGTAGCTATATTTGTAACCTTAGAACTTACATCTCAAGGTGGGTAGCGGCATTTACGTTGTAGATATCTATGGGCTCCGGTAACCACTTAACACCAGGTGGGCCGTGAGCTTCTACTTGTCTGGTTTTTGGTTTTACCTATTTTTAATTTTTTATGATTTTTTTGTACTAATTACATTTTAGTGTGCGTCATCTCACCTGTAGTATCTGCTCTGCAGGTAGGTGTTGCAGACCGCTTTGCTGACGTGCGAGGCGCTGCCGAAGTCGATGACCTTGACCCGGTACGGCTGCCGAGCCGGCTCCACCAGCATTATGTTCTCCGGCTTCAGGTCCGCGTGGATCAGGCCGAGTTGCTGTCAAACGAAATTAAGCATGTCAAAATAAAATTTTGTTTGAACATTACCGTTGGCGTTGATTAATCTTAAAATAAGAAAAAAAATATTGGACAGTTTGAGTTATAGATCCGTTTGAAACTGACTCACGTTACAGCCGAATAAGTATCAGCCCCATGATGAGAAATTGAAACTTAAACCTCATGGCTCAAGGATGACCTTACAATACGCCGTCCGTAAGTTCGATTTTTAGCCGACTTCAAAAAAGAAGGAGGTTCTCAATTCGACCGTATGTTTTTTATGTTTGTTACCTCATAGCTTTTGACTGGGTGAATGCTGGGTGAAAAACCTTTCTCGGGATATTAGTTCAAACAAGCAACATTCTAACAGCGGGTACACATTGGACGCTTTGAAACGTGTGATTTACTAACGCGAGTTTTGAAATCTAAAAGTTCTTATTGACGCGTACACATGCAAACGCGCGCTTCTGACGCGCGCTCTCAGAAATTCGTTGGAACGCGCGTTGCGCGGGCGGCAGCTGCGCGCTTGTAGATACATGCGCCGCCATTTTGCTGTACATTTGATCGCGCGCTTTCGTGTAGGGTGCACGTGTATTATGGAGATCGAACACTTCGATACAGATTTATTTATAGATGAAATCCAAAAGCGTCCAACTATATGGGATTTGCAAAGTCCAGATTATAAAAATAGCATATTAGCTGGTAGTATGTACACCTTGCAATCATGTCTGGAGTAACGAGAATGGATAGAATACGGAATGAATATGTTAGAGGAAGTCTGAAAGTGGCACCTGTGACAGAGAAGCTGAGAAGTGCGCGTTTGGGATGGTATGGACATGTGATGAGACCAAATGAAAATGAGGTTGGTAAAAGAATGTTAACTATGAATGTGGAAGGATATAGAGTAAGAGGTAGACCTAAAAAGAAATGGATCGATTGCGTGAAAGACGATATGGGTAAGAGAGGAGTGAGCGAAGAAATTGTATATGATAGAAGGGTATGGAAGGAGAAAACATGTTGCGCCACCAGGTGACTGGGAGAAGGGCAGGATAATGATGAGTATGTACACGTTGGTAACGCTCGTTAAACGGCGTGCTAGGCGCGCTGTATGTATGCTACAAGCGCGCGCCCAACGCAACTCATTTCGGATCCCCCCGATCCACTAACGGTGCTTTTAAGTACCTCAAGCACCGGTCATCGTTGTCGTCAAACCCGTCGCTTGCGACGAAGGGCTAAATTAGCCCTCAGACACAGCCCACTGAGTTTCTCGCCGGGTCTTGTCAGTGGGTCGCGTTTTCAATCCGGTAGTAGATTCTGCGAAGCACGGCTCTTGCTAGGGTTCGTGTTAGCAACGTCGTCAGGTTTGAGCCCCGTGAGCTCACCTACTAGTTAAGGTTACGCTGATATAGCCTCTCAAGGCTCTCCTCAGTTTAGGTAGGAAAAAAATAAAACCAACTCAACTCCGAGCGCCTAATGTGTGTACTCGCTCTAAATAACGACTCACTTTTAATTTGAGCAGCGCCGTCAGGACCTGCTGCAGTATCGGCCTGATGTACTTGAGCGGCAGCGGCGAGAACTTGTTCTGCTTGAGGAAGTCGTACAGGTTCTGCTCGAGCATCTCGAACACGAGGCACGTGTGCGAGCGGTGCTGGAAGCACTCGTACGCGCGCACGAAGTTGAACTCGTCCGCCGACTCTTGAGAGAGACGCGACAGGATCGAGACCTGAACGTTTTGAAAACGATTTTGAGCAATGTATGTATCTATCTCATGAAAATTCTGCTCCATTGTTTATGAACGAGTAGTTATTATCATAGTAGTTAAAGGGTTAAACAAAACATACATCAATGTACGAATTAATTGTGCTCGATTGATGTTACTCGTGGATAACAACTCATATATGAGTCGTCTATTATCAAAGGTGGCAATCTGTGCATTTGGACAAAAAAATGTTATTGATATGTCAATACAGATTGATTTGAATATAATCGTCTCCTTCAAAGAATACGGTTCAAAACCTCCATTAAATACTTTATTAAATTAACCTGTTATTTATCTAAGATGTCGTTCAGAAGAGTTTTGTGACTGCCAATGGAATACAAAGCCAATAATTCGTTTTTCTGATTTACCAATAATTGTCCAAAAGTCACATTGCCGGCTTTGATAATAGTCGACTAATATGACACTGTATTCGTGTTAATACTTTAACAGTGCAGTTTTATTTAAAACTAGCTGTACCCGTCCGCTTCGCTGGGCATTTAAAATTAACATTATTATTTCTCACCCCCACAAAGATTCTCATCATTAACGCCCCCACAACTGGTGTAGGGAATTCAACACTCATATGAATATTAGCCTATCCATTGAGTACATGTATTTTCTACTTGGATACCAAGTTTCAAGTCTATCAGATGCACGGTTCAGTAGTTATAACGGAACATCCGTAAAAACCACTGTAGATTTATTATATATTATTTAAAATTTAAAATTAGCCTCATAAAATAAGACAGTTTCATGAATTCAATGAAAAATATTATTCCAATATTGGTTTCGTGAAAAATGTATTCTTTGTTTGTTTGTCATTATTAATAACCCGAGCTCTAAAGACACTCGAAGATGGACGGATGAATACGGAGTGCTCACCGCTACAGGTCGTTTCAAAACATTTGGATTAAAGCCAAAACTATATTGGAACTTTTGAAACCGATTAAATAATATCGAAAAGAACAAAAATACCAAGGTATATTTCATCTTTGGAATGCAAAATAGTTTTTTCTTTCCCCACTTATAACCGAGTATCAAGACTACACGTCAAAAGTTCTGACGCGTCAGACATTCTGGCACCATTTCAATGTTTTAACGTATTTCTTCAAAGTCTCTTCTTTTCTATTTTATTTTTTCTTTTGAAGGTTCCGAACCGATTGTCGATCGAGCACTACAAGTGTTAAGGCCATTATACTAATTTTTTTTAAACTATGATTAATAGTTTTAATTCACCTAAGGAATGTCAATATTGGCGATATTCAAGTATAGTTCACATATAAGATGTAATAATAATGCACATGAGTATATGTCCACGTAATGCTGACCTCAATCTGCCCTTGGCGCGCATAGCTAGGATGGTTCTTTAGGATCTTGATGGCAACTATCTCGTTGGTGCCCTTCTTCCAGCATTTCACTACTTGCCCGAACGTGCCTCGCCCGAGGAACTCCAACACCTCGTACCTGAAAACGAATTAATATACAAAATAATAATATAAAACAAAAGATTTTAATGTTGTAAACTTCACTATAGGACCTTATGTGAGTCCGCACGGGTAGGTACCACCACCCTACCTAGTTCGAAGGGTGGAGGGCAGCCGTTGTAACTATACTGAGATCTTAGAACACAGATCTTAAGGTGGGTGGCAGCATTTACGCTGTAGATGTCTATGGACTCCAGTAACCACTTAACACCAGGTGGGCTGTGAGCTCGTCCACCCCCATTTAAGCAATAAAAAAAAGATATAAGTGCTAAGGTCTCAGTATAGTAACAACGGCTGCCCCACCCTTCAAACCGAAACGCATTACTGCTTGACGGCAGAAATAGGCAGGTTGGTGGTACCTACCCGTGCGGACTCACAAGAGGTCCTACCACCAGTAAAAAAAATGTTAAAAGTATTATACATGTTTCGGGAAACATCTACTATTAATGAAAGGAAAAAGCAGGTGTATCACTGACCTATTGGACGAGGAGTAGAGCACCTCGTGCTGAACGAGCTGGTAGTCGCCATCAGCACCACAGCCGGACCCTGTCGACGTCACGGAGGGGGTTTTATCGGGGGCGCGCCAACGTCCGTCGCATCCGCATGTACATGTATTCGGAAACCACATATTAGCTATGCGGGATGCACAATGGAAAACGTTATGTTAATGATTTATATTAAACGCGAGTAAATATTAATATAAATTAATATTAACGGTCTTAAAACGAATTAGGATAGAATTAACATGTAATTATGATCTACTCTCAAACTACATGTATAGATTAATATGGATAATGGATAATTAATATATATGGATAATATGGATTAATATCGATTTATATGTTTAATAACAAAAATCTAGAATTAACTTTACAAATTTAAAATACTTATTATTTATTGTTTTTCCTGTGTTGTGTCCCCAGTCGGACGGATTCCTTTAGTTTGTTTTAGGTTTATTTTATACAAAAGTTTAGGTCTTTTATTTATCGATTGAGGCACTACGAAGTCTGCCGGGTCAGCTAATATTATTATAAAGGAACCTATTATCTATCGTACGAATTGTTTAGTTATTTCATAAATTCCAGTAACATTTTCAATCTTTTATAAAAAAACGTCTGTACGTGATTCTGTTTATGAATTACACATTTAATATTATATATGATATCTGTCGACCATGTTCTGATGACAGTTTGAGGAAAAATCTACTTGTCACGCACAATGCTTTCACACACAACCACACGCACGTACACGCAAAAATCAATGTGTGTGTGTGGTAGTCAAATACTTGTGTTCTGTAAATACACCATCGATATGAATCGTTTGTTTAAATTCAATGAGCCTTTGTCGTTACGCAACATTTCAAATATGTCACCTAAATTTTATTGAAATTATTTAACATGATAATATTTTCATTGAAAATAGTATTTTTAAGAGAGGCTTTTGTATGAGTTATGTCATCATCATGAGAATCATCATCTCAGCTTATAGCTGTCCGCTGCCGAACATTGGTTTCTCCAATCAATCTAAAGTGCGGCCGGTCGCGTTTCCGATCCGGTGATTGATTCTGTAAAGCCCTGCTCTTGCCATGGCTAGTGTTAGCAACGTGTAGTAGTAGTAGTAGTAGTTATATAATTATTTTTTTAAAGCTTTCATGACCTGGTAACTAAGACCTTTAGGTCAAGTCTTATTTGAATTTATTCTTATTTTTATGAAAAATGATAACATGAAGTGAAATGAAATGAAATGAGATGATATGGTATAAAATATAATCTCAGTAAAATAAGACTTTTCCAGTGGACTTTTTGGAGGATCCCGAGAAGTAACGTTCGGCGGCTTTGTTTCATTTTCCCACATTTGTGCATTTTCACAGATACTAAACAGTTAATAAACCACCGTTATTACACATTTAAACCCGAAGAAATGAAAATAAATGAAAAACTTAATTCTTCGAGTTCCCGCCAAAAAGTTCAGTACTTATATAATGAATTAATAATTGGGACATTACGTTTGTGGTTACCTTGCGGCTGGGGCGGGTGGTTGGCCCCGCCCGCCGCCAGCTGCTTGCTGTGGGCCGTCGTCGTTGCGGCCTGAGGAGCCGTTTTGTGACGCGCCCCGACCGCGAGGCCGTTCTCCGCTTGCACCCCCCGGCGCTGATCAACGTTGCTATCTCCCCCACTGGAAATAAAAATGGTACAATGTTATTTTTTTTAATTGTTTTTTATTGCTTAGATGGGTGGACGAGCTCACAGCCCACCTGGTGTTAAGTGGTTACTGGAGCCCACGGACATCTACAAATGCGCCACCCACCTTGGAATATAAGTTCTAAGGTCTCAAGTATAATTAAAACGGCTGCCCCACCCTTCAAACTGAAACGCATTACTACTTCACGGCAGAAATAGGCAGGGTGGTGATACCCGCGTGGACTCACAAGAGTTCCTACCACCAGTAAATAATATCAGTGAGTGAGTACCAGTGAGAAATATGCAATCAAATCTCCATTCCCGATCCTGCGTACCGAATGGTAAACAATCGTCGTCGCCCTAAACACGTAATTTCGGACCCTCCCGATCCACTAACGGTAGCTTTTAGGCACCTCAAGCATCGTTCTCGTTGAAGCCGTCGCTTACGACGAAGAGCTCGACGAGTAAACTAACCTACAGACACAGCCCACTGAGTTTCTCGCCGGATCTTCTCAGTGGGTCGCGTTTCCGATACTGTGGTAGATTCTTCTTGCTAGGGTTTGTGTTAGCAACGTCGTCAGGTTTGAGCCCCATGAGCTCACCTACTTGTTAGGTTACGCAGACATAGCATCTCAAGGGTATCATCAACTTAAGTAAAAAAAAAAAAAACTTAGATACCAATACAGTAGTATCTTCAAAATGAATGCAGCTTTGTCGACGTATTCGTGTTACAAATAAGAAACATAACGCATTATAAAGCTATTGTTTTGTTGTTTGAAATTAGTTACAAAATGAATCTCTTCTATAATAAATCATATTTTGGTGTACATTTTAAAACTATTAACGTAACTTACATTTTAATACGAAAAAAAATACGCCATATACTTTTTATTTTTTTGTCTATACTTCCACTTTTTAACCTACACAATAGCACACTAGAAAAATCCTTTTACATACCTATTTAATTCCGCGAATAAAGGGGAGACCAAGTAATTTTCTATTCACATACCTGATTTTTGTTATTAATTTTTTTTTTATTTATTTCAAATTCGTATCGGGTTCGTATAGTGAGCCATTATTTTTTGAAGGTCTGTATAATGGAGCACAATAAAGCTTTATTCCCGTTAAATGTTATCGTTCTCGTTTGTTCACCAAAAAAAAAAAGTTTTGCCAGCGTCTGCGCATACTTTTAAGCTTGGCACCGCGCTCGACGAGTTCAACCTGCGCTACGGTCCACAAAAAAAGCGTCTTCGCACCCTATTAATATTATTTTTAAAATATGATACATTTGAATTAGGTTTGTTTATAGCAAATATACTTATTTTAATATATCTCGAATTAAAATTAGTGAAAGGAACTAACTGCTATTTTTATAAGTTTGAATTTTTCATTGATTCCGAATTCACGAAGGCATCATGTTAAAAGAGAGAGAGAGTCTAACAATTTCTGACTTACTTGTCATCATAATCAAAATCGTCGTATTCGTCGTCGTCGCCTTCAAATTTTAGCCTAGGTATTGAGAGATCCATATTTACATAACTTAAATATAGGCACTATACTAAAACACTGTAACAACACTCCAAAAATATCATAAGCCATTTATGAATGTGTTAGAACACTTATAAGTCCGCACATTGCACCAAGTTTGTACTGAGGACGCCACGCTGCGTACGCGCATGTTCGAGGGTTGGGAATGAATGGCGGGTGCGAAACGAAGGGTGAAACGTTGTGGAGGGGGGCCCCCAGGTAGCCGAGGGTTGTATTAGCCCCCGAATTCCGCTTATTATTAATTCTTGTTGTTTAAAAATATACGCGTACTTCTCGAATGTAATTTTAAGTATTCGGTTAAATTTTGCCACCAAAACAAGTACCGTTATTATAAGAATAGTAAGAAATTATCTTTGTTTTTTTTGACGCAAAATTTTATTAATCAACTGCAAAACATCTCAGTATAATAAACATGCAACAATTACTGTTATTACCTGCACAAGAAAGTCCGTTTTACACTATAACCGAACTTGATTAACTTTATGTTTAGAACGAACTGTTAATACTGCATCATGATCGAAGTCTATAAATGTTGATAGATGCATAATAAACGTAATATAAGTATAACCCGGTTTATAACTAGAGCTGCACCTTGTCGGTATGCTACACTGCCTCGTTGCCCTTTTCACGTAACAATAAAATCGGCTATTAAACTCTAAACTGTTAAAATGTTGCTTGTTAAATATAAAAAAAAAAAATTGATTTACAGTTATGCGTTTTTTCAGAACGTACCTAGTACAGGGCGTAAATATTAAATCATTAGAGACACGAGAGAATTTATATTAGAATTGTTAATGAAAAGAAAGCGTGACATTAGTTTGTGTATGTACAATTTTTAAATAGATTACATGATTATATTTGCCTGACTATACTATTTATCGTGGTATAATTTATTTTCATTGTAAATATCGTATGTTCCATGTGGATTGCACAGGGAGATCGTTTAAAATTGATTTAGTCACAGCATTTTTGTTACTACACTGTGACGTGTATTTTTTCAAATGAATTTGAGATTGTTGATGTCCATTAGCGACAGAAACAACACCACATATATAGGCCGTATGTTTTCGTCTGGCATCCATTGAATGAAGAATAGAAACAATAATTTACAAGTTATACAGTTATCCTGTTTGTTCATCTATAGTCTTTTAGATTGCGTCTCAGTGAATACTAAGTCTCCTCGTCGACTTCGACGAAGAGTTCGACGTACGAACCAGACCATAGACACAAGTTTCTTCTCGCCGGATCTTGTCAGTGGCTCGCGATTCTGATCCGGTAGTAGATTTAGCGTAGCACTGCTCTTGCTAGGGCCAGTGTTAGCAATTCTCTCAGGTTGAGCCCGTGAGCTCACCTACCGGTCAGTACAAAGTTGGAATAGCCCCTTAGGCTACCAACGATTAAGTAGGAAAAAAAAAGCTAAAAGCTGGAAGTTACTTTTTTTTCCTACCTATGCTAAGAGCCTTGAGAGGCTCTATCAGCTTCTCCTTGGCGTGTAAGTGAGCTCACGAGGCTCAAACCAGGTGTGTTGTTAACACTGGCTCTAGCAAGAGCAGTGCTTCGCAGGATCTACCACCGGATCGGAAACGCGACCCACTGAGAAAATCCGACGAGAAACTCAGTGGGCTGGGAGCTACTAAAAAGCTAGAGTAGAATCAAAACTCACGTTGCGTCCCGGCAACAAGGCCTGGTGCAAAGCACGGGCGGTGGCGCTGGCGGCGTGGACCGCTCCGCATCGCACGCGCGACTCTGCACTACGGGCGCAGCACAGCTGCCAGCCCCGACCTCTGACCACCACTTGTTCTGAAACACCAAATGTTATATACATTAAAAAAAAACAGAAAAGAAAAAAGAAATTGTCTTCAATAATTACATACGTGAATTGTCCTTGTAACGTTATATAAATAATATTTTCTAAAACTGTTATTTTTTCGAAGCGCTCTTTTCGACATAATGTCTATTGTAAGGTAAAGCGCAGAAGTTCCTAAAAGCCGTACAAAATTTAAAGAAGTCGATCTTGACGGTGCTATGGCCACAATGATAATATAATTTAGTTATAAGTGAATATATATAACTATTTAAGCACTAATCATTTAAAATAATAACACGATTTTCATTATTAATCACTAATAATATCTACTAAACATTAGGTTAGCGACAAGTTAGACGTACAACTTTCCTATTATCTACGTCCAAAACGGAATTTAGTCGATTAGTCGTCTTGCTAATGAATGATTATTTTCACGTAAATTATTAAAGTTAGTATCGTGCCATTCGCCTATTAATATTTGCAGACACGCTAGAAAATGCGCCCCGAAGAAAAAAATAACCAGTTAAAAATACGAGTTCTACATAAAAATAATGATGAACAAATTTTATTCGTAAATACTTGTTTTTGAGTGGTGGCATCAAAGCAATATAAAAAAAAAAGTTATGCGCTAATTTTTTTCCTTTTCATTTTGTTTAAATGACACTGTTGATGAAAAGTAATCCTGACAAAATCAATCGTTGCTTATGCTGGAATATCAAAGTGTCACGCCGACAATCTTATAATTGACGGGCACGCCTCACATCGATGGTAACGCGCGCGAGTTTAATATAGCCCAGCCCTATTAACAGAGTAATTGAAACCGGGCTTTATTCAAAGAATGCAAATCCCTGTAATATAATAATATACATATACTTTACGATCTAGTTCACAGCACTAATGTAAAGGCTTTAAAAGAATTATCGCAAAAGTATGGTACGAAAAACAGAAATAAAAGTTTTTATTTCATTCCAGAATGCAGGAACTTTAATTGGATCTTTTTATTATTGTGTTTTGTCATAATGCACGGCATTCATACTTTACTTACCATATCCTTGGCTGTTATATTGTTTATTATTCACATACGTATTGATTTACCGTATTGTCCCGCTTACTCCGCTTACCCAACCACAACAACAATTGTGTGTATGTATACCAAATAATCTAGTTAGTTTTCTAAGGTATTTTAAGGTCACATAGTGAACGTCTATTGTTAAACAACGGCTGTTATCATCAACCGAGCATCATTGATGTTTAGCTACGAGTGTGTTAGTGTGCAGTCATAAAGATCTCCGACAAAACAGTTAGCTGTGTAAAATTAATATGCTATTATTTACACAATTTCGCGATGTCGCGATGGCCCCAATGTCGATAATACATACATTATGTCGTATATAAATAAAAGATGTAGATAAAACACCCATCTACACAATAAAAAAAAATCTTTATTACGATTAGTTAACACTGCAAAAGACGAGTTGTACTTTTAACAGCTAATGCCTTTTTGGAAATATATATATATATTTTTTTACCTAAGCTGATAGCCTTGAGAGGCTATATCAGGGTAGCCTTAAGTAGTAGGTGAGCTCACGGGGCTCAAACCTGATGACGTTGCTAACACGAACCCTAGTAAGAGCCGTGCTTCGCAGAATCTACCACCGGATCGGAAACGCGACCCACTGAAAAGATCCGGCGAGAAACTCAGTGGGCTGTGTCTGAGGGTTAATTTACTCGTCGAGCCCTTCGTCGCAAGCGACGGGTTCGACAAGAACGATGACCGGTGCTTGAGGTACCTAAAAGCACCGTTAGTGGATCAGGAGGATCCGAAATGACGTGTTTGGAGCGACGTCGACTGCTTTCCATTCTTTCCGCAGGATCGGGAATGTGTAATGGCCGTGCCCTCTCATCGTGGCGGCCACGATGAGAGGGTTCTCGTGTTATGCCGCTTTATCGAAGTGGTGGAAATATAATAATTGTATATATGTACATAAAATTATGTAGATAATGTCAATGATAAATGAAAAGAAAGATTACATATGACGATAGTTGTTACTATTTATAGCGAAAATGTCACATATCGAATATCTTTGTGTCCGAGATTTGATCTTTCTGCGGCGATAATTGTTTTACAGTGAAAGTGTACGACTCGAAATTCATAAATTACGTGGCACACTTATGAGCCTCAAAAAAAACCTCAGAAATAATAGCGAAAACACTATTGAAATAAAACGTGAGAAAACTTTCTTTTATATCGCAAGACAAATCGTAAACAATTACTTTCAAAATATGTATTTGTCTGAAAAGCACAGTTGGCTCTTGAATATAAACCTTTTTTTTTTATTGCTTAGATGTGTGGACGAGCTCTCCTGCTGCCAAGTGGTTACTGGAGTCCATAGACATCTACAACGTAAATGCGCCACTCACATTGAGATATAAGTTCTAAGGTCTCAGTATAGTTACAACGGCTGCCCCACCCTTCAAACTGAAACGCATTACTGCTTCATGGCAGAAATAGGCGGGGTGGTGGTACCTTCCCGTGCGGACTCACAAGGTCCTACCACCATTAATTACGCAAATTATAATTTTGCAAGTTTGATTTTTATTACACGATATTATTCCTTCACCGTGGAAGTCAATCGTGAACATTTGTCAAGTACGTATTTCATTAAAAAAATTGGTACCCTCCTGCGGGATTCGAAGACCGTTGCATCGCTAGATACGAATGCACCAGACGTCTTATCCTTTAGGCCATGACGACGATTTACTCTATATGTAGTACATATGTTTATTATTTTAGTACATGGGGGCAGTGCCAGTGGTAAGGCCATTTTCCGATATCGGACCATGAAATAACCATGTGAAATAGTATCATGAAGACATTGGATGGCTGTGTAAAATTTCTCTATCTCTAATATAAGTATAATCTTTGGTTAGGTACAAAACGTTCATGATTACAATTTAACAGGCAATGTAAGCAGAAGTATGACATTGCGTAAATACAATAAAGACTTCCTTATATTGTAAGAAACTTCCATTTGTTTTGCGGTTTTGATAAACACAGAACTATTTAGTTTAAGGAAAATATTTTAATGGACAAATTATAATGTTTGCGGGAACATCAATATATTTTTCATTTAAATGTACTAACTAATACGCCATGCGCTCTTGCTGTGTTACAATGTGTGTGTGTTACAATAAAATATAATTACACAAATGTTCATTATAAATTGACTATATTCGTTAAGACTCTAATGAATCGTGATAGCGTTTTAGCAATAAAAACTTTCCAACACAATAGGCAATTACTAATGACGCACAAAGTCAATTGCAATTATTTACTTCATTTTAATAGGTATCCTGCATGTAAACAGTAGCTTTAGATTACACAATTATTTTAATTGATGTTTAAAAATAATAACAACTTAAATGGCAAAACCATACCCTCCCCTACAGTCCTCGGGTCCCTGGGAACCGTCACGGGGCAAAGACCTAGACGTTTCTTTCGTATTCTGACGTAATCACCAGTTCTGGCTTCAGATCAGATTCACATTTGATTGACCGTTGTTCCAATGCAACAGAAACCTCAAACTTATATCTCTGGGGGGTATTCATTATAACTTCATAGAGGATACAATGCAAAGACGTTGTTTAAGTGGTCACCAAAACTATTAGACCTCAAAATATTTACGCCACCATCCAGTTTGAAGCATGAAGTACAACTACAAGCCGGAAAGCATTCGCGGCAGATATCGGCAAGACAATAAGCTACCTACCTATCCACAGGAGCTTACTTCGGTACGCCTTGCAATCAGTAATTACGTTTATATTATTTTACATTAAATCTTTATAATCAATTTTATATTTATAATAACTTTTTCCGGTATTCGATTTACGACCGACTAACTTTCATGAATGAATATTGTAGTACGCCAAATTCTTCATGTGAACAAAAAGATAATCTTAAGACTGAATTATCTAACTCGACCGTCTGTCTCATACACTCTAATAATATATCTTATTCGGTGTTTAAATACAATTTACCTCGATCCGGCTCGTACGTGAGAGGTCGAAAGAACCCTCTGAAATTGTTCTCCTGATGACCGAAACACAATGTCTAGCCCACAAGATCGCGATCTCGGTAGATGCACAGTGAGTTGGGCAGATAGAGCACGCAAGTCCTTTACTGTACGTGAATGAGGACGTTTCCGTCCTTTGTCCAAAAAACGCCATAAAACACGTTCTTAGGACTACAAAATTTTCTTTAAACTTTCTTGTGAGAAAGAAAAAAAATTGTAAGCAGCGGTTTCTTTTCGCAGCTATTTATGACGTACTAGCGACCCGCCCTCGCTTCGCTTCGGAAACATTAAAACACACATGAAACCAAAAATAAAAAATAAAAAAAAATAAAAAAAAGTAGCCTATGTTCATCAGGGACAATGTCGGCTTCTAATGGAAAAATAATTTTTCAAATCGGTCCAGTAGTTTCGGAGCCTATTCGAAACAAACAAACAAACAAATCTTTCCTCTTTATAATATTATTAGTATATTAGTATAGATAAATTCGATTGTATTAAATAGAAAAAAAAAAACGCAAAAGCGACAAAGTTATATTGAAAATGAAATTACTTTTTTTGATAATTGTTGTTCTATCTGGTGGTAGGACGTCTTGTGAGTCCACACAGGTAGGTACCATCACGCTGAATATTTCTGTCGTGAAGCAGTAATGCGTTTCGGTTTATAGGGTGGGACAGCCGTTGTAACTATACTGAGACCTTAGAACTCATATCTCAAGGTAGGTGGCGGCATTTACGTTGTAGATTTCTATGGGCTCCGTTGACCACTTAACGCCAGGTGGGCCGTGAGCTCGTCCACCCAGCTAAGCAATAAAAATAATAATCGAATACTCTCAAAATACACAATCATTAAACGTGTGACAACTTAATGCCAGATCGATGTTTATTATCACGAACAACAGTATATAAATCTTAAGCTACAT